TATTTATAAGTATTAAAATCGCAACAGGGAACTTATTACCAAGAAACGAAACGAAACTTTATGATATAATTTAATAAAAATAAAAATGTATGGTTAAATGTCAAATAATTTTTTTTTTTTTTTAACAATTATATAGGTCAGGTTGAAGAATTATAGAACTTCAATGATCTACAAATTTCGCACTTATTTAAGTAGGTCATTACATTCCGTATTGTCTGAGTCAATCAAGGTCTGTTTCTCATGAATAGAAATTAAACATTTTGTTTCGTTCTTTTCCAACCAATTACTGTTTTAGTATAACGACAAACATGTTTCTGTTGTAGACAGTTATTATTATATTTTTATTTTTTACACTTTGTCAAGATGATTCATGTTTGACAACTAAACGTTTCCAAAAAAAATAAATGTAATTTAATGTGAACATATTTTTAAAGACAAAAAAAGATAGTATAAAACAATTCTCGTCGGAGAAGTTTTGAGTTTTATATTTTTTTAATTGAAAAAACTTCAAATCAGCAAGAACTTAATATAAATTTGCGACAGAGATCGTTTTTTATACAGTCGAGTTTTCGCTGTTAGTCTAAAAACAGTGAAAAATGGCTATAACTCAAAAGGGGAGAAACATTTTTTTTTCCTCGGCTGTGGCGTATTATATTATTTTAAGGTTCTATAGTTTTTAGAACATTAAAATAAAGTCACCAAAACTTATAACCAGCATACTAACTGTGATAATGAATTGAGTGAACTTGGTAGTGGCATACAATTTAATTATTCAGTTATATATGGTGTCGATATCCAAACTAACTTTTTGAAAATTTACAAGAATCAGACGTAGCGTAGGTAGTCAGCATTATATTCTAATGCAAATCTTCAACCGTTTAATGGTATGTATAATAAACGGTTTCCTAGATAAGTCATTCATTTATACGTCTTCGTCAAATCTACGATTGAATGGAATAGCATTTAGATAATTTTTTAAGATATTGTTGATGCAAAAATTCAAAAAAATATCCACATTTAAAATGTCAAAAAATGAACTTTTGATTCTTAAATGGTACGGAGTACATTTTTCACTATAATACTGTAGTATATTTTTTTTTTATTATTTTTTTGTTGTATGGGAACTACTCATATGAGTGAAAATCGATTATTTTATACTACACTGATTCACAATTTAAGATGTAACAAACTCTACACAACATTCCGAAAATAAAATCATTAATTTGTTTTTTGAAATAATTATTGTTTTTCAATTAATAATTATATTATATTTGTATTTATTTATTTTTATTTTTAAAACATCAATACAATGGCATCAAGTGATAAGTACGTGAATATTTTATGTATGTATTGATTATATTTCTAGTCCACAATAATTAATACATATGCATTATGATTGTACATGCTATTTCCTGTTGCTAAGCTTACTTCCCTATTCTGTTAGCTAAATCAAGATGAAAACTCAAAGTAAATATTTTATTTTTTTTTAAACTATTTATTTATAAAATGCATTGTAAATGTATTATTTTTATGACATTATTATAATATTGATTTAATATATATAATATTTTAAGATTATTTACAATTATTTAATAATTTAAAATTTGTAATTATAGGTAATATAATATAGTAAATATAAACACCTAATTCATAATATTCATTTTTCAATGCTCACAGGTAAATGATTAGCATTAGAATTAATGTATTAAGTAATCGTATTTGATCTAGTAGAAAATATTTACAAATAAAATTTTTATTATTGTGTAGATACTAAAAAATGTATTTTTTTACCTGTCAGGTCTTATTTATGATTTTATACTCACCCTAATAAACAAAAGCAATAGAAAAAATGTAAAAATATTTATTATTTGAAATTGAGAAGGTAAAAACGATGTCATGGATTTCGCGCTTAAACTAAGGGTATGGTATGACTATTACAAAAGTTAAAGTGTTAAATAATTATCGTCATTTATTTTGAAAATACCAATGTAAGAGGATTGCGGAGAACACGTATTAGATACACATAATGATTGAGTATAATTATTTTTTCAACCGAAGAGCTTTGTGTTTTTGTATAGACACCTATTATGTACCAAATATCTACCGTTTACTTCAATAAAATCATTTGTACGTTCACTATCAATGTTTTTCGAATGTTTTGAAGGCTGAGAGGTGCTTATATACGTTTCAGCGCGCACTATGATGAAAGTCTAGTAAAAAAACATTTTCATGAACGAATATTCTGTACATACAGCAAACGAACATCGATACGCGGTGGTAACAAGAATAATAACGCGAAACGTATGTTTGCTGTTTTAAGCCTTCGCGTAAAATGTCATATGCACCGTACATGGTTAAAGTTATGGGTAGGAAAAAGCTATTATTATATACACGATATATCAGTGTTTAATTTAAACAGATGACAAAAATTGGTTGTGGTTTACGACCGGAGTACACGAAATTAGTTCTCGGTTCTGGTAATGACTACGTGCGTATTACGATCTATAGTGTAGCAAAACTGTAGATATACTGCTTAGAGTGATAATACGCCGTGGATTGTGGTAGAATCGAAAAAATCAAAATGTCATTAACAATATTAAAACTATTTTATTATTATGTCGTACGCGAGACTGTGTCTACATCGGACGAAATAGTGCGTTTATTTACACGTAGTAAACATTTCGCGCAGTTAGAATATTGCAGTATGACGACGAAAAAACTAGAAATTCGTACCTATATAATTTATTTCGATATCTTCCGATGCTGAGATGCAAAATGCGAAAATGATGAAAAGCATTTTGACGCTATCGGTCCGCTGTACTGATTTCATTGGACCGTCGTCACGAGTCCGGTTAAGTATATCGATTTGAGTGGTAATAGGGTTTCGGTGTTTTAATTAAATTATTCTCCGATTAAGTGTGGAGTTTTTTTTTTTCATTTTTCATAACGTTGTAATAAAAAGAAACAGTGATTTGTCGAACCAGACACTTTCTGAAATTTTAAGGGCATCAAAGAACAATTATGTGTTGCCAAAAAAAATATTATACTACTTAAAGAAAAAAAAATGTTTTAATTTATTTAATTTTTACATAAAAACGAGCTTGTACCTGGGACCAGTTTCACGCATTATCTATATAATGTATGATAATAATACGATTAATTGTATTTAAATAAAAAATGATTTAGAATAAAAATTTATTTATTTATCTATTAAAAAACAACTATTATCTGAGATAAATGATATATAGACGATTTTACAAGAAAATATTATTATTTTAGTACTCGTATAATATATTATATTTTTATGGATGTGTCAATTGTTTTAATCTATTTCCTATATGAGTATAGTCTAGTTTTATATTTAATATGTTTTTTTATTTATTTTATTTATATTCATTATGTATGTTATACTAAAGTGATTTTGTAATATATATATTATTCATTTTCAGTAAACACTTATCGGTATAATTATATTTAAAACATACATTTATAGTTTATGCGATTGTAAAAATTCAAGATTTATATATATATGAGTACTTACTTATTATTTTATTTTTATAACAAAAATGTAATACAAATGTAAAATTTTTATAATATATTTTAATTTAGATAGATAATAAAAGTTTATCTATTTATCTATTAGGTACTTTATCTACATACCTACAATTTTAATGAATTGTCTGCATTATTTTTGAATTATCTTTGTAAAAAGCTGTCAGGGATACATATTATATCTCTGGCATAACTAGCCACAAATAAAATAACTTAAGTTTATATCATATTGATAAGAGAAAATATAAAATTGTAAGTAAGAACAAATAAAGAATAAAGACTAGGTAGATTAAATAATAAACAAGGGATCGATATTGGCAAGTCTCATCATACAGGTAATAAGTTCGTTTTTAAAATGACTGGTGGAGCTGAAAGAAACAGAAAAGTACCTACATTAAACATACACTTTAGAATCTAAAATAATGTTAAGTGAATTTAAAGATAACTTATAGTTCTTTAAATCTTCCGTTTTTCTTTCTCGAAAGTCGAAATATTGCGATTTATAACCATATAACAATTGACGCAATATTCAATACTGTATAGGTTTTAATATTTAAAACGTTATAAAAATTTTAATACAGTAGGGATTTACTCTTTTTTTTTTTACACAAAACGTATAATAAAAAATACCACTTGAGAAATAAAATAAAATTTCCCCACATTAAATTGTGTTTGTAACGAAAATGAAAGTCTCAAAATTAAAGACAATCGTCTAAGCGAACCATATTATTATGACATGCGTTTTTGTCAAGACATTTCTGTCGTAAGAAATACATTCAAAAATCTTCGAGGTTCAGCAGGTATATAATTAAATAATTATATTCTATTGTCCGTTAAGTATTTCCAGCATTTTATGTTTTATCCACGCTTAATAAAACGTGGTGATTTTAATAATATATTTAAATATGTATTTTAACTATGCAGTATCATAGCGATTACGTTTTACGATATGATTTTGATTACAATTAGGTAGAAAATATTAACCAGTTTTATTATACTTACGCTTCATTGACTCAATAGAGATGGTTTATTTAGGTAATTACATTTATGAATATTATATATTTATCTTATATACTTATACTAAAATTAATTTATGATTCGAGTTTACTGACATGAAGACCTATTAAAATTAAAATGTTTACATACGTTTAAAAATAGAAATTATGATACAAATGTTTTAATTATTTTTCATAATTTAAATTCTTTAAGTACGTGTTGATTATCAATATTCTTATTCGTCTATCGAAAAGCGTGAAATCGTAGTGTCAAACTATGTTTTTTCCCCTTTTTTTTAAAAATATTTTACCAAAATAAAATATTTTAGTATAATTTTAAGTCCCGTTTAAAATATACTTAACGAGTTTCTAACCCGTAAATCCACGTTATCATCGCATGTCGTAATAATATAATATTATTATTATATCGTCACTATCACCACGTTCGCTTACCCGACCATAATGGTTAGACACAAAATGATGGGCACGGTAACCTCTTGCGTGTCGTTGAAGCTTAACGAGGAACTTCCGTCGGTCGTGCCCTCGTCGTCGCTCTCTTCTCCCTCGGTAAGTACGCCGGTGTTCAGTTTGAAGTCTCGCATATCCATCTGTAAAATATTATTATTATTATTATTATTATTATTATTATTACTATTACTCGTATTATTAAACGACGGTATATACAATAAATGAATAGTGGTGCGGGTTATGTCACCGGGGCTTTGAAAAAAAAAAAAAATTTGAATCCTATAACAGTACTCTAATAATATAATATTATATATTATTCATATACACAGTGACATAAGATAGACGACGTGGATTATAATAAAAAATACAGAATGATTATTTCAGCGCTAGAAAATAGTTTCTTCTGAAGTAGGTTTTTATCTCCACGCATACTCGTATACTATTATAAGTGGTAGTCGTCAACGTTGTCACTAACACGAAAAAAATACTATACCTCGCTACTTATATTCAAATACAATTTTCATCGTAAAACCATCAAGGCACGTTATTATATTATTAATAAATCGTATAAGTATTTCACAAAACACAAAAGTCAACGTTCTAAACATAGTAAATAACCGCTGTTATTGCGCAAATGTGAAGAAAAAAAAAATAATAATAACATAGTAGGTATGTTATTGTGATGTGGTTACACGACGGGAAGAGGAGAGACCGGACCATCCGTTACCCTAGTCCCCGCGCTGCCTACTACCGATTTAAAGATTAAGTGCCGTTCGCGCGAAGGCGATACATCAACGTCATTTTTGATTTACTATCGACAGTACAGTAGACCACCGCCGGTATATTATAATATTTATTATTATTTTTGTTATATTTCATGTATAATATTATTATTATTATTATTATTATTTATTGGCATTGCGCCGTCTCCTGTTATACAGGCATCTGGTATACCTTCCACTGTTCCTTTCGCTGTATGGCCAACATGCGCTTTCGGCGTTTCTTGCAATTCCGGCACAGACAGCATTTCGCATATATCCACTTGAAGCTCTTGGCCAGTATGTCACCAATGTTGGAGAGGTACAACAGAAACAACGGCATGCCCACTATCGCGTACAATATGGTAGCCAGTTTGCCCAGTAGCGTCCGCGGAGTCACGTTGCCGTAGCCTGCAAACACGTGAAATTTAATCATGGTTGATTTTATGTAATAAACTAAATTCTGCTCAAAGTACAGTGTTTGTACGTATTTTTTTTTTTTTTGTTCTTTAACACATATTGCGGGGTGGGGTGAGTCGAAATTGAATTTTTATTTTTTTCGCCAAGTCCCACCTAAATTACACTGCTGTACAGAGATGATCCATCAATTATCTAAATAATAGATAAAATATTTGAATTGCATTTGCAATTTCTGCTACAATTGTAACAACTACAGTAAAACATTACGAAGTAAAGTTAAAATAATCGAAATTAATTTAAAATAAAATCGAATAAACAAGTTAAAGGCAATGGTGTAAGAGTATCCCTGCACTCCCGACTATACTGAGTAGGTAAAAAATAAATTAAAATACTCCACACAAGAAATTGTCTAGATCATTTATCTCAAATAGCATTTAAATTTAAATAGGTTGATAAAAATATACTTTAAATTGTTTTTATCTGTATAATACACAACACTATCAGTTTACCGCTAACAATATGACTACACGTTTTTACACGGAGATTTAATACGAACGCGAATATTACGGGCACATAATTACAAATGGATAAACCATTTTTCATTTTCAAACTCGTTGACTGATGGCATTAATTATTTAGATCCAATATATTCGGCGCGCCGCTGTTATGGGCTTCCGACTACGATGACAATATTGAAGGCCTACATTATATTTTAAAACGTCAACGGCGGACATAATAGGAAGACTGTGATAACGGTGAGCAATTTACATAATATCTTTACAGAGCTTCTCGTAGTCATAGTAATAATATAACATAATAAAAATTCTACGTTGCATAATATAATATTTTAATACAGGTCCTATAATATACTAATGGTTAAATTTTAATGAAAAACAAAATAAAATGTTTGATTTTTTTTTTTTTTTTTGATAATGACTTACAACGAGGATGAAATGATTCCCAATGTCCTATTATAACGATTTACAATGCAGCTGTTGAAAGGTGCAAATAGTTTGACGAGTTTTGGACATTTAGTTATGGTAGATTATATAATATTATGATATATGGTCTATGATAATCGTACTGTATGTGTTTTACAACACATTGTGTCCAATATAGATCCACTTGCAGTATTATTATCATATTACAATATTAATATTTTACAATATCAGTATGTAGAACATCTTGCCGTCCAGTTTGTCTATCAATAATTTTTTCTGACTATATTTTTGAAAATATAAGATGACATTTATTTTATAACCTAAGTTCGTTTTGATTTATTCCAATTAAAAAGTAAAAAAAATTAGTTTTACTTTAATGTCAATGTTGTACGTGAGGTTCAATACCACGAAATACTATGTATTGTAACGTACATACGATACTGTAAAGCTATGGATCAAACGGATAAAACGGAATATTGTGAAGTATATAATAGCATTCAGTCCAAAAACAATAAAATGTTAAAAATACTTAAAACACTTTAATTGTTCAATATTATAACTAGGTCTTAGGAATGAAAACACTAAAAAATTATATTTAATATACACTTAAAACACCAAAATTAGTGCCAAAAATTGTACTAAAAATTGATAAATATGCACAACAAATTTTAAAATTTCGTTATAAAATTATTTTAATAGTTTTAATTTTACAATTTTTAAATTTAATTATAGAATACAGTAGTAGGTAATACGAAACTGTGGGTACTTGGTTCTACTCTGGAACATGTAAATAAAATGAATCCTTAAACCAAATTATTAGAATTGTTCAATGATATCAGTAATAATAACCGATAACGCATCTACTATTTAAAAATCAAAATGTATGTTTTCGTCCTCATATTCATATATTTTATTGAAGTTGTATTGATTATTTTTTTTATTAAATAAAAATATTTTTATAACTAGCACCTAAAACTCTAAATTAGCAAAATAGCAATATAAACTATGTATAATATATATGCATAAATTAGCTAAATAAATTTTCTTATTTGACATCAGGGAAATTTGAAACAAATTTGTAATTTAATTTCAATGTTCTATGATTTACTAAAAAAAAGTATGCATTTGCTAGAAATTTTGACCCTTGATTAAAATTTTTAGTCTTTACACTGAAACGAACGTTTAGAGGTAAATGGAGATAAACATTAGTGAATTATTTGACCTTATATGCGGTAATATAATATCATATAGTTTTATCTTATCTTTGAATAGAATTTATGTTTAGATTGAATGTAAATTTGCACTAATGTATCGAAAAACTTGAAAATAAATCTAAGAAACAAGTTAAGTTAAAATTTTCAGAAATATTATGATTCTTGACTCATTGATAAATATTAATAATCAAACATTAATCATGATTAACATTTAAAAAAAATAATTTAAATTTTAAATTTTAAATAATTTTTAAACATTTTTATAATTAAACGAAGTGTTTCATTTTAAAACGTATTTGCACAAATTACATGATTACAAGATACAGACACAATATATTAAAATATTAAAATATAAAAAAATATAGAATTGTACTATATACAGCAAATCAAATTATAAGTACCTATTCATACATTCATTATCAATTTAAAATGAAACAACATTGATGTAAAAGAGTATGAAAATATAAACTAACATCTTTCCAAAGAACATTTCTATGAATATTTGCGTAGATGAATGTTTATACAAACAACTTTCATCATAAAAATTTACACATAAACATTACTTTTCTTTATACATCTGTTTAATTTTTCAAAGTTCTTCAAATCACACGTTATCACTAAAATATATATTTATAAACTTACACTAAACAATTTTTCTATGAATTATTTTCTTTGTTAAAAAAAAAAAACACATCATCAACATCTTTTAATCCTGTATAACTGTGTGAGTAATTAAATATATATATACGAGTATATTATAATATGCAAATCCATATAAATCTTAACTTAATTATATCATAACACATCATATGTGAAAATATGTGAAATTTGCTCTTATTTTTATAATTATTAATAAGCTGACTTTAAAGTCATTTATTTCCATCATATTTTTAAATTATAAATAAATATTTTTAGTATACTATCTAAAAAAAGAAAAATGTTTGAATCTTGAAAAATTAATTTTTTATGTCACCAACTGGATCAAATTTTTAGACCAGCAGTCGTCGAATAAAACTTTCAGAGAATTTCCCTGCTACGGTAGCACATGTATAAATTATGTATGGTAATAAATTGAAAACAACAAAATGCTTTATGTTTTAGAACCTCAAACATATATTATCCGTCGTTCCACTCAGAGGCTTAAGTCATTTGTTTTACATCCTATTATAGCATAAAACTATATTATTATACATTAGGATCTATACCATAAAAAAAAAATGTTATGATAAAAATAATGCAATTTAATAATAATAAATGTATATTTTTTAATGAATAAGCATTCAACAATTTTAGAAAAGTATTCAGTTACAGTACGAGTGTATAAAAATAAATTACAATAAGCCATAATTTCAAAGTAGTAAAAAAACCATAAAAATTAATAAGGACTTCATCTTTTTTTTGTTTTTTTTTTTTTTTGTAACTGTGTATTCTTACAATTAATATTTAAAAATATTTCAAGATGCACAGTAAGTCAAAGGGATCGCTCTGCGTATCCGTTAACTCCAAGGCGTCCATGTCAATATAAATGTTTATTGTCATTTTACATATTATACATAATTTAATACAATAACAGTATTTGATTATTAACTTCAAGTAGAAAACAAAAGAGAAATAAAAACCATCGTCAATATCGAGTCGCTTTCAATTACGACGTCGAGGAACATTGCGTTTGTGAAAGAAAAATGTCGACGACTGACGTGATTGAATTATACGAACTCGCTATGCCCACTTCTAATAAAGACGTTTCGGCTCGGGGGCTCAGTTTTAACCAAGTCGCACAATATATTTTATATTTATGTATATATATATATATATATATATATACCATTAATAAAAGGGACTCGTGATGAATTATTATGTACGAGAATTGTTTAAACAAATATTCTCATTAGTTAGTCTCGTCCCGTTGTATTTTATCAATTTACGAATATAAATAATAATGTGACCGTGAATATACTTCGTTATGATATATTATAGATAGTATTTTCGCAATGGAATCTAATAAATCATGTTCTGGCTCGTTGAGTTCAAAAAAAAATTATTAATTTTTAATTTTCTGTGTACAATTTAAATTATTTGTTTTAACTCTCGCCGGCGTAGTTACATAGTTAACCTAACCTCGAAAATGTATTAGAATTGCGGCAGAGGCGATTTTTTCGCTAATGCAACGCCACAGACACAAAATCCAATAAATATTACAAAATAATATAATTCAAGTTCTCGTCGGGTTCGTGTATCGTATAATATATTTTGTTTGAATTATTGTACACATAATACGTTATAACGTGTGTTTAAACGCTCGTGAAAGACATAATATATACGCATAGTATATTTTGTTATTTTCTCCGGTCCATATTATTTTCGGTTTAAAATCCCATATAATATGTACGCCGCACGTGCCTGCTGCAGTTTAAAGTCGTCGATAAATCATGATAAATCGTTCTAAAAATGCGCTTTTCCGGTGATATTACGAATAATAATACTCTATTTTAATATCTGATGTTAGCGTTCAAAAACTTAAAATCTTTTAAACTCCTTCATGGACACCATTGATTCGTTGTATTATGGTCGAGTCACTCTCGCTCGAACGATTTTTATAACAAGCAAACGGTGATACAATTGTGATACCCATTATTTCAAAAGCTACCTAACCGTATTAAAATAAAAACTTTAAAAGTGCTTTGCCGTTTTGTCATGAACGGTCTTGCATGGTCATTGTTATGTCAGCCAGTCAGGAATCATGCAGATTGGAAATTTTTGGTCAAGTGAATTGTGTGTCACCAAATAATAGCTAGTTTGCAGATATTATTATATTTTACCCTTTATCTTTTTTATT